TTTCTGTCATTATTTCTTCAAATAGGTTTTCAATATCTTGCCCTCTCTCTTCTTCTGGTACCCCTATAATTCTGATGTTGGTACGCCTGAAGTTGTCCCAGAGGCGCCTTACACTATCTTCATATTTTCGGATTCTTTTTTCATTTTGCTTTTCCAGTTGGGTGTTTTTTGCTTCTTCACATTTCAATTCTTTGCCTTGATTCTTGCGCTCCTCTGGTCTGCTGTTGGGTGTCTGTATAATATTCTTTATTTCAGTCAGTGTATGCTTAATTTCTAGTTGGTTCTTTATTACAACATCGAGGGTCTCATTAGATTTCTTGAGGATCTCACTACATTTATCGGCAGTTTTTAGAAAATTATTGAAAGACCTTAAAAGTGTGGTTTTGAGCTCTATATCTTCCATTTCTGACATCTGCGTCCTGTTTCTTTGTCTCCGCATTTTTTATGCTTTCTTGGTGCAACCCCTTGTAGTCTTTGTGTGCAGTCTTGTTGTAGTTAAGCCTAGATTGTTGTAGGTAATACTGACGGGGATTTGACCTCCAGGCCAACTCGAGTTCCTATTTCTTTTTATCCCACTAATAATATCGTATACTGCAGCAGTTCTTAAATTTTTTTGTTTCGGGAACTTTTTACATTCTTAAAGAGGTTTTTTTTGTTTGTTTTTGTTGTTGTTTTAATATATGGGCTATATCTAGTGATACTTTCCATAAAACTGAAATTTTAAAAATATTTTTGCCCCTCAGCTGCCTCCCACCCCCCACCCCCCCACTGGTGATGTGCCAGCAACCCAGGTACATGCCCCCGACGAATCAAACCTGGGACCCCTCAGTCCATAGGCCAATGCTCTATCCACTGAGCCAAACCGGTTAGGGCTCATCATTGATGTTTCTATCTCTCTCTTCCTTTCCCTTCCTCTGTGAAATCAATAAAAAAAATTTAAAAAAAAAATATTTTGCCCTAGCTGGTTTGGCTCAGTGGATAGAGCGTCCGCCTGCGAACTAAAGCACTGGTCACCAACCATTCGGACCTCACAGACCACCAGTGGCCCACGGACCACCGGTTGGCAGCCGCTGGACTAAAGAGTCCCAGGTTCGATTCCGGCCAAGGGCACATGCTGGGGTTGTGGGCTCAATCCCCCCTAGTAGGGGGTGTGTAGGAGGCAGCCAATCAGTGATTCTCTGTCATCAATAATGTTTATCTCTCTATTCCTCTCCCTTCCTCTCTGAAATCAATAAAAATATATTTTAAAATATATATATTTTTAAATTTATTTTAACATAGAAAAGTTAAACTCGCCGAAACCGGTTTGGCTCAGTGGATAGGGCGTCGGCCTGCGGACTGAGAGGTCCCAGGTTCGATTCCGGTCAAGGGCATGTACCTTGGTTGCAGGCACATCCCCAGTGGGGAGTGTGCAGGAGGCAGCTGGTCGATGTTTCTCTCTCATCGATGTTTCTGGCTCTCTATCTCTCTCCTTTCCTCTCTGTAAAAACTCAATAAAATATATTTGAAAAAAAAAAAAAAGTTAAACTCATTGCATAGTAACATAAATAACTTGCTTTTTATGGAAAAAAACAACAACTATTATTTCCAAAAAAAATTTAGTGAAAAGAGTGGCATTGTTTTGTTTTGAAAACCTCTTTAATGTCTGGCTTAATTGAAGACAGCTAGATTCTTACATCCACTCTGCTTCAGTACTGTTACTGCAGCTGCATCCACTAACAGAAAAAAATTTAAACTCTTTCACTTCTTGTTCAGATTCCTAAAAAGAGGAAATGTGGTTGGCCCAACTTACCCTGTAAAGTCTAACAGGTGGTAGTTGCTGGAGTAAAGATCTTTTGTTCTTAGGTCAGGTTCGGGGGGCACATAGCAAAAAAAATTAAAAATAAAAATATTTAATTTTTGCTCCTATGCAGCAGGAGCAGAACTCACATATGCCTTAACGCAGTGGTCGGCAAACTGTGGCTCGTGAGCCACATGTGGCTCTTTGGCCCCTTGAGTGTGGCTCTTCCACAAAATATCACGTGTGGGTGCGCATGTATAGTGCAACTGAAACTTCATGTCCCATGTGCAGAAGTCAGTATTTTGTGGAAGAGCCACATTCAAGGGGCCAAATTGCCGCATGTGGCTCGCAAGCCGCAGTTTGCCGACCACTGCCTTAACGTATCCAGGACACATAGACTGTATGTGGTGCTAACATAAATGGGGCATATTTGGCCTGTGTAGTCACATTTAATATTCAGGAGGAATTCAGAAATGAGCTATTCCTGTTGTCAGGATACACATGAGTCACTTGTCTCTATAATGCTCTGTTAGCAGACCAGAACTCCCCACAAGTGTTGCATTCTTAACTTTTTTGGTTAACGTAAGGTTAATTGTCATTTTGGTCTTCATTTAAAGAAACAAGAAACCAGGGAATTAGACGTCTCTAATTCCTAATAACTTTTGTACTTTTACATCTGGATTTTTTTGGAAAATGATAAAACAGTATGTCTTCTCCTTACAGAGTTTTGGGAGTGCTAGCAAATCTGGAGCATCAAACAAGAAACCTGGTATGTATAGTGATGAAATGAAAAAATTACTGAAGTGCTTCATAGCCTGGAATTCATAGTTTCTTTTTTCTTTTTTCAGAGATTGCTCAAGTAACTTCAGCATATGTGGCTTCTGGTTCGGAACAGCTTAGCCTCGCACCAGGGCAGTTAATACTAATATTAAAGAAAAATGCAAGTGGGTGGTGGCAAGGGGAGTTACAGGTAATAATCTTCAAATAACATGTATCGGTTTTTATTATAAAACTAGTGCATGCTCATTAAAATCAAAACTAATGAAAATTTTAGATCACCATTTAGAGGTGATCTACATGAACATGTTAGTGTATAATGATTCTCTCTAGTCTTTTCACTGTTTATTTTTAGCATAGTTAAATTGATATTTTAAGAATATATGAAGAATATTTTTCTCTAAAAACATAATTGTTTTCCAGTTATACCTGCTTTAATAAACCACAGGTCACCTTCTTAAAGGAAAACATAGCATCATCTTTACCTGGGACAACCCCAGGCTTACAGTATAGCCTCTGGGAGAAAAACATGGTCCAGGCCAGGGGTCCTCAAACTACGGCCCGCGGGCCACATGCAAATACAAATATTTATTTGTTCCCGTTTTGTTTTTTTACTTCAAAATAAGATATGTGCAGTGTGCATAGGAATTTGTTCATAGTTTTGTTTTAAACTATACTCCGGCCCTCCAACCGTCTGAGGGACAGTGAACTGGCCCCCTGTTTAAAAAGTTTGAGGACCCCTGGTCTAGGTTGTGCCCTGAGAAAACACTACCCATTGGACTCCCCCTCATGATCTTATGTTTTTGAAACATCAGTGCAAAGAAGGGAAGTGCCAGCATAATTGAGCCTGTTTTTTGTCCCTGCAATGTTAGCAGAGACAGTTATTGCATATGTTTTGATACAGAGTGTTTTTTTTCTCTCTCTCTACTAAAATTTCATTGTTAAAATTAAAGAGCATTGTAGAATTAAAAGATGATGAGAGGTAGAATAGTTGTATTCTTATGTAAGATTAATATATGATTGTGATGAGGATAAACATAGCTTCATTCTTGCAAATTAGTCTTACAATTTCTAAAGAATAGTGGATGTTCAAAATTCAGTACCTTTTTGAATAACCCCCTGAAATCCCACCTTCTGATTTGCTTTGAAGATTGACCCAACTAAGTGGGAAACATGGCTATCCACAAATTTTATTTGTGGTCTCCTGATTAACGAAGTTCCAAGAGGTGTTTACTGTGGGCTGTGCTATTTTAAATGCTGACTTGAACTTATTGCAAGAACTCTAGAAAAGTGTTTTTAGTTTATAAATATTACTTGTGTGAAATATGCAGATAATTCTGAGCCTGAAAGATCTCCAAATAGACTTCCACAAATAGTGTTTTTAGCTGCACTTTGAGCTGCATGTTGAGTCTTCCAGCTGTTTGATGTTGACCTGGAAGGCCAATGCAAAATTCAGGGCTTCCCAAGACCACCCTTACTTTTGACACCAGTTTTAAGTTTGAAGGTCTCTGGACCACTCTGAAGTGCAATAATTTGCTAGAACTCAGAGGACCTACTGAAAGCTACAGTAGTCCCCAGTGGATGCCTGAAACCACAGATAGTACTGAATCCTCTATATACCATGTTCTTTCTTTTACATACATACCTATGATAGGGGTTAATTTATGAATTAGACATATTAAGAGATTAATAAAAACCAATAGTAAAATAGAAAAAGTATAACAGTATATATTGCAATAAAAGTTATGTGAATGTGATCTGTCAAAATATTTTATTGTATTGTACTTTTCACTTAAAGGAAGAACTTTCTAGCTTCCCTTTGGCATATCCTAATTGCCTGCATCACTACTCTTGCGCTTTTGGGCCATTATAAAATAAAATAAGGGTTACTTGAACACAAACACTGTGATGCCATGACAGTGGATATGATAACCTAGATAACTACTGACTGACAGGCGGTATTGCATACAACATGGATACACTGGACAAAGGGATGATTCACGTCCTGGGTGTACAGAGAGGGATAGTGTGAGATTTCGTCACGTTACTCAGAACAGCATGCAACTCAAATCTGAAGAATTGTTTATTTCTGGAATTTATTACTTAATATTTTCAGACCACAATTGACTGTGGGTAACTGAAACTGTGGAAAACAAAACCATGGATTAAGGGGGACTACTGTATTATACTCATGGTTACAGTTTATTACAGCAAAAGGATGTAGATTAAAATTAGCCAAGGGAAAAGGTGTGTGCGGCAGGATCAGGAGGGTTAGCTTCCAGTTGTTCTCTCCCAGTGGAGTCCTGATCAGCACTAACTGCTCCTTCCGACAATCCCCGCAGAGTACTGCCAACCAAAGGAGCTCACTTGAGCCTTGCTGTCCAGAGTGTTCTGGGGGCTCTATCACATAGACGTGGTTGGCTGCCTGTATGGCTGAACTCAGTCTCTCCAGAGGTTGAGTTCATACTACGTGACCCAGAGCACCCACCATAAATGACATTGTTAAGACTATCTGGCATGGTCAAGGCCCCAGGTAAACTCAGACACTCATCAGTCATGACATTCCAGAGGTTTAAAGATTACCTCCCAGGAGCCAAAGACAAAAACCAGACCTTTCTTTGAGCAAGGTTAAATTCTTTACTACACAGGATTTTTTTGCATGTTTTGTTCTTGTCTCAGTAATTTGTTTTAATCTCATCTTTCATACTCCTTTTGCTGATTTTACAGGCCAGAGGCAAAAAGAGACAGAAAGGATGGTTTCCTGCCAGCCATGTTAAACTTTTGGGTCCAAGTAGTGAAAGAACTACACCTGCCTTTCATCCTGGTATGGAATGAGTTAACTTGAGTTTCATCATAGAGAATTTTTGTTAAAACTCGCCAACTTCTCAGAATAGCTAACTCTGAAAAATATGAAAAATTTGTCCTTTCTAGAGAACTTTCTTTCTAAAAAGTTCTGTGTAGAAACAGCCAACTGTTAAATGAATACTTGAACCTCTTCACTCCTTAAAATTTCTCAAAGTGGAATTACTGTACCATCAGACTTAAAGTGAAGAAGCAGTTCACTTAGATTTTTAACTGTAGTTTGAAAATGATAGTGTTTTTAAAACAGAATGGCCAAAGGAGGGTGGGAGAGAGCAACCAAAGGGCAATTTTAGGCAGATTTAACCTTTAATGTTAGAGTAACTTATATCCTAGGGGAATTTTGACAGGTGAGCCTATAGGAATAATTAATTTGTTCTTGTTTTTCTTTTTCTGGTAGTGTGTCAGGTGATTGCTATGTATGACTATGCAGCGAATAATGAAGATGAGCTAAACTTCTCCAAGGGACAACTTATCAATGTTTTGAACAAAGATGATCCTGACTGGTGGCAGGGAGAAATCAATGGGGTGACTGGTCTCTTCCCTTCAAACTATGTTAAGATGACGACAGACTCAGATCCAAGTCAACAGTGTGAGTAAATCAAACTATTTGCCTCTCAACTAGTGCAAAAGCTTTCATCTGCAGCACTGCATTTATTACTGTTCTGGGTCATATGTTAAACTCGGCACTCTTAGCAAATGTATATGAATGTTTAAAGTAAGAAATTGCCAAAGGAAAATTTCCACAATTTAGAAGTTATATTGCTTTATTTTAAATATTTGTTTCCTAGCTTCAGACCTTGCTATTAGATTTCATCTGAAAAACGTATCATTCTTTTATGGGTTCTTTGGTACGACAGTGGTCTATACTGCAATTTCCCTTTACCACCATCTTTGCAGTGGGCAGTGATCTTTTTCAGCTTAATAAAGAGTAGATAAGTAAGTATCCTACTTACCTATTAAAAATTACCCTTTTAGTGTATGTGCTATTAATTTTGCCACCCTTGCATTTATTTCCCACATATTTACACATCATCCAGTTAAGAATAAAATTTGAAAACTATTTAAATTGACTGTTTTCAAAACTCTCCTTAGATGATTATTTACATGATACCTCATGCCACAAGAGGTACATGAATCAAGATCTATTTCACTGTTTTTAGAACAAGGGTCCAGATCTCTAAGTGTGATCTTTGGTATTACATCAAATTATCCCTTGGTTGTTATCTAGCCTTTCTTATATTTGACAGTAAACATGAATTAATAGTAAATTAGAGAACAGACAGTACTTGGACATACTTTTACCTTTATAAAATGGATGTCACTGTCCTCCATCTTTTGGGGGTTTTTTTTACAAAATACTGATGATTTATAATTTTATCATTCTTGAGAAATTATCTAATAAATTTAACCTTTCATTGTAATTTAGTTTTTGAGAGGATATAAGTGGTAACCAAGTCAAAGCTGAGATATGCTTATGATTCAGTGCAAGTATTGCGAATTTCTTTTATATTATAATTTTGAAATATTCATGCATTATTTTTACTTTGGAGCTTGTAAAGATGGTCCTCACCCGGAAGAAGACTTTCCTTTAAATAACACAACTAAATTCCCCAATTTGGAGGTGGGAGGAGTCCAGTTCTTTATGGTTTGAACATCCCCAAATATATCTAAGGGTTTCAGGAGAAGTGGTAAACTAAGATATAACAACCTGGGTTACCTAAATGAAAGACCATTTTAGCTCTGCAGATAGTTTGGCAGTTTTGGGTGCTTGCCAGTTGATGTGATCAATTAGGAATGCCTGAGGCACCTTTCCTGAATCAGAGAGAGCAAGAGACTTTCAGACCTACTGGGTCT